CCAAAGGAAGAACACAACAAGAAGTGTGCAACAGCAGAAGTCTTTGAGTGTAATAGGTACAACGTATGTAGGACAACAAACCGTGTAACACGATGTCCATTGAGCCAATCAGCTTCTCTCCTGAAATAGTCGCCGGTAGGATTGGCTGGTGACTTAACGGCTGACTGTAGTTTGAATTTCAATTTATCGATTGCTTGACTGCACGATGCGCTTGCTCGCGTGAAGGCCGATCGATAGTCTACTGTGGGTGCGGCTACTTCCTTGCAAGTTAACTGCTTGCTAGGGTTGTTCATTAGGCCGTCCTAACAGTTTCGGCCACGCTACTTTTCACTGAGGATTGCTGTACAACCGTCGCGCTCTGCTGATATCCACACATACGCTGTATTTCACTTCTGGTAAAACGCCTCTCACTTAACTTACTACCACTTGCTCGCCTGCAGTCGTGTATATCTCACAGGACCGCGTGGTTCGTGTTTCTGACATGTAAAAACTATTCACGATAGGTAGCAAAACTTGTGAAGTAGGCCTAAATTCACGGAGAATTCCTTACAAATCCGAAACTAGTCCAACTGCACCGACCAAAATACCCACTTAAAATAAACGTCTTTCGTTTGAGTAAGAACTCAAGGAAACGACCGCGAGTAATCTCACTCGATAGAACTGTCTTTTTTATGCAAAGCGGAAATGCTACTAACGCGATGTTCGTGTCTACTGAGCGAGGACTGGAGTGGGGCGTCACAGGAATGCATTTTTTTTCACAGAACTACGCGTCGAAAGTCTGGTTAGTGACTAAGATATTGGATTATAATTAGCAGATGCAATCATAGGCTTACTCATTTCTGCGCATAAGGAGAAATGTTCTTCCATAAATATACTATGTGCTTTCTGATGACAGTGGAGTTCGTTGAGTACCGAGATGCGGCTTTCGGTGTTTCCAATTAATTTGCCGAAAAGTACTGTAATTTGTGCCTACCAACTAGTTTCACAGAATAAAAAAACCTCTAAATGTCCACTTATATCGTTGTACTATTTGTAGACATGTTTCAGCATAAAACTTCGTCTCCGAATGAAATGAACATCGGAACAAAGTAGTACGCAGAATACAAGTTTTCTCCGTAGAAGATGCCTTAGTAAAGATATTTCGCAGTGTACACCCATGTCGTTGTTCTTTTTCGCAAACTACCTCCCAGGAAAGCATGTGATTTTGCCCGTTCGCATATTTATTGGTATTTTTCTTCGACAGAAAAGCACATTTTTACCTATTTATTTTAGAACCGTTCTTTTGTTTTTCCTGCCTAAAACACGGCGCGAAAACTCTCGACACTTGTCATTTACGCTGTAGTTTGTCGTTGTTTACCCAGCGAAGGAAAGCGTCATTGCATCTGCCCTTGCGTACTGCGTTGGGATCTCTCGATGTGTGTTACTTATGCTGATTTGCAACAGTCTGCTTTACTCTAGCCGATAGTTGGTTTTTATGTGTAAGACGGCATATTATGAACAAATGCTTCCGGGTTGCCACCTGCGGTAGTAGCTTTTTGGACCCATTTTGTTAGGCTTACTGATGATAGATTTCGGTCAGTTTGTGTCTGATTTGCCACTTCTTAACCTTGTTTCTTGACTTTTCTTCCCTCCTGCCAATTCAGTCACATTTGTGCGATGAATGTCGAAGGCGCAGTTTTGATCTTCCTACCTGGTTGGAACGTGATTAGTACACTGAAAAAATTCCTGCAAACACACCCTCGCTATAGTCGATCCGAATATCTCATTTTACC